CAACTGAAACTTTATCGAACTATAGCCAGCATACAATCAGTCTGTTTTGTACAAACACAACTGGGTTTGTTTTACATACCGATCGCAGCACCACCACTAAGGGGATTTGGTATACATTGGGAGATATAAAGAAAGTGTGCTGATTGCTATGTCCGGTTTAGTTTACGAGAAAATCCTTTTAATATTAACCCCTGCATATAAAACAATGGCTCGCAGAGGAGGAAATACAATTTGAATAGCAAATTATCTAAGAAATGTGACAAATTAATCCAGGCAAACAACTGCCATTGTTTAGGCCATTCCTGTAATGAATATCTAGTCCTCAAGTAATGATTTACCAGTCAGAGTAATGTGTAAAATATTTTATTGGAATCATAAAATCCCTTTACAGTATCTCTATATATTTCGGGACAATGTGCATCTCCTGAAGCACCGAAACCAACCCTTGCCCCTAAAAACAAGCAGCAATATGTTTAGATACTAGATAATATTGGGACAATTACATTCCATGGACCAGACTCAGTCACGTTCCTCCTTCCACCACCCCCCCCCCCCCCCCTCACGTGGCACGATTAACAGAGCAATTCAGTTAAAGCCCCATCTGCGGTAGTAACTACCACACTCTAGTTGGCGGAGCTTATACAAGTGATTTGACAGGTCAATATTCATTTCATTGGTTAATGCGTAAACGGGTGACGTCATGTAAACACCCACCCACGTGCCACCCACGTGCCACCCACGTGGGCCGTTTGACAACAAGGACGTAAGTTTTAATGGTAATATAAATATCTACCAAACGATTCCAAGACTTTTCAACAAACGCGTACATCTTTGGTTTCAAAACCTACCTGCCATGTCGTCTTCACATCTTCATAAAATGATACCGTGGAATGTCCACGATTTATCCAACACAGTCCAACACACAAATTATAGTTCTAAATCTCTGGACGAGAACGAAATACGTTTGTCGTGATGCATATGAGCAGTGTAAATGAACAAGAAACATAATATGTGTTTGGGCACCAATCGTTATCCTGTGGTGTGCGGTATGTCTGCAGTTTATAAATAGCATTTCTCACAATATATACAGCAATCGGTGATTTCAACAATGTTTTTCTTCGTTGTGTTCGTCTTGCCTCATCTGGAATCTGGATGACAACGATCGTGTAAAAAAACCTGGTAATGGTCAAAAATATTTTCAAGTGATCAAAGTGGTTTCTTGTCGTTTTTTCATTGCCCCGTAGCAATGTATTTTGGCAAAGTCTCACTTGTCCGATGAAGCTCCTCATGCCGAAGTAACTCGATCCGTGAAACTTGGCGGGTCCCAGTGACCCAGATCCCTGTTGATTGGCATGCCAAGTGTCATTTGCATAAGGCCATCCATATTCAAGCCTCAACTAATCAGAGAGCGGGGGGTCGAAATAAAATATATGACTTATCAAAAAATGTCTTTCAATAATTGTGTAATTTATTTAATGACATTTTAAAAAAGGTTCAACACTTGGTACTAGAATCTAGTCTATGAATTAATCTATGATGTAGATAGATTCGCCTTTTTTCGGAAACGAATTTTTAATAAACATGGGAACAAAGATAAAGTTGACCTGGTTCTTTTATGACGGTGCAATTGTAGATCACGTTAATTCTGTCATGTGCGTGAAAATGGGTTTCAACATTACTTTCATCAAGCTTACATTCAGGTCGCTGGCTACTTCAGCAGTAGTGTCTTGTCTCGAAGCTCAAAGCAACAATGTTTCTCTCAGATACATTTTTCTCTCCATCCATGACGAACATCTGTCATAATGTCAATGCCTCAACAATCTTCCTTGGCAGTTCAACAATGTAATACACACAGCCTCATTCACGGCGTCATCGCAAAGATTCCTTCCAAATACCCACCACGTGATCAGGGTTACGACCTTGGGATAAATTGATAAATTATTTTGCATTTTTAGAAAAGATTTTTTTCGTGAATATTATTATTAAAAAATATCTTTAATAAATAAAATACTTTTTCATTGCACTGGGTTTTTCTTTTATTACTTTCGTTTGTGTTTACATTGTCAGTCTTTGTTCGAAACTGAAACACCGCCACCTTGCGGGCTATTTATAGTCAGGGTTGGGCTTTAAGACCGACACCATGGCAAAACCCCTATACAGTACCAGACCCTAAACCAAGAGCAACGCCAATGAACCCTTTCCATGATCATAAGACATTTCTGTTTAAAACTGAGACCATGTTACGATTCCAACTACATCACAACCATGTGTTTAATGAATTACTATCAAATAGTGATGATACGAAAATGAATTGTTTGATAGGCATTTGTGTGAAGTTGAAAGGCTAGACCAAGACTATTTCATTCCATGCGCCTTCTATGAGCCCATTAAGCACACGCTCCGTCTCCTATTATCCCTCTTACATACACTTAATGCCTTCTTGTTGGCTTCTCTGCCCATCATGCAGGTACAATACTTCTGTTGTTATTCTTAACCCAAGCTTGTTAATCTCTCCCATGTAAGTACACTGTGTTACTGTTAATCCTACACCTACTGTACCATATATAATTCTGTACCTAAAGACATGTCCATTCCTATTCCTCTTTTGTACTGGATTCCAAAGCTCCATCAAAATCACACCAAATCTGAATCAGTCGATCGGCCAGCAGCTTTCGTTGAGAAATATTGAATGTTGATTGAGAGATCTGGTAGCTGTGATTGGATGATCTTGTGTGAAATTTGTTGATGTTTTCAAATGAACATACATTGAGTAAATTAAAACAGACCAAGTTTTTTTTCAAATATTTAGTGTTGTCCTTTTGAACAGGATAACTAATCCTGATTGTGACCATGGCAATGTTTTCGAGCAGGTGACTTTTGGCGCGGGACTGGGGTTGGTGTGTTTAACTTCCTGTACTCGTAAAAGAAACTTGCTACGCTAGCCAAAAATTGTTTTTATTGTAGCCTTAAGGCCAGACTGTGCACACGTGGAAATGTAGTGGCTTTTGAATGCCTGCTAGTTATTTGTGTATATATTCATACATACAAATACACACACACACACACACACACTCAGACAAAAAAGCCTCAATGTAGAATTGGCGAATTGGGTAGAGTACCACTAAGCATTAAAATTGCTAAACGAGCCATACCATACTGGTGTAAGTAAGTATTACCTAATCCAAAGAATAAGATTACATCATTTACGTTGAAACGCAACAAGCTTGGTCATATTTATCCCTGGCTAATAGTTACTTCTCTCTGATCATATTTCTAAACCTTTACTGTTTTTGGAACTGGTAACCACACCTACCAATAGAAACAGGCCGATGAGAAACTATACCACGAGAACAAAGGATATGTATATTGTGTGACTAACAAGTAATTGGTGACGAGTTCCACTATTAATTCAGCTGTAATACACCTTTACCCTTACGTACTGAATGTGTTAATGAATACTAGACACACTGGCCAAACATAGTTAAATATCGTAAACTGTTCACAATTAATGGCAAAGTAAGTACTTAAGAAAACTGTCAAAGTTCCTCAGACATTTGAATGCTATACTGTGACGTATTCTACAATATTGACTTTTGCGGGTGACCTCGCTTAGGTGAACACTACCTAGCTGACTGTCTTTGATACATGTCCTGCAGTGTGTGTGTGTGTGTGTGTGTGTGTGTGTGTGTGTGTGTGTGTGTGTGTGTGTGTGTGCGCGTGATTGCGTGACTGCTTGTGGTGTGTGTGGGCGTGTGCGTGTATGTTGTATGTTTGTGTGTGGTGTGCGCGTGCATGCGTGCGTATGTGTGTGTTTATGAAATAAACGACGAGTAAGAGTGTTTTTATCGTACAAAATACACTGCTGGGAGAATAGACCATGATTGGCGGGGCTCTGAGTTGTCTTCTCCCAGTCTGCAATAAGCAACGACCACGAGCTGGAATATTGCTACTTTAAATTACAAACAAATATAGAAGACGTTAGGCGATTGCGTTTTGGGATGGTAAATATCATGTTTTATGAATATCCACAATGTATTTGCGAGCTAAATACATAGTGTTTATTCCTGATATACAATACTTTGTATATATAGCATTTCATTGAATATGAATATTGACGAATCAGCAAATAATCCTTACCACGTCTAAGCTAAACTGCTGACAATTTTCAACACAATGTCAGTATATTGTAAGCACTTCTTTAAATGCTTATAAGAAAAGATTTCATTTGTAAATAAAAGCGACAAAAGCATAATCCTAATCAGAAGAAAATTCTTCCATTTAAAGTATCTTGTGCGATTCCGACTATATCATACGCATGTGTTTATCAATCACTATCAAAGAGAAGTGGTCAAACTTCAGAGATAGCTGGTCTTGATGTAATGTCAGATGACATGTGAGATGATAGACACGTGCTCTCTCCACTTATATAGTCAAACTAGCTTCCAGCACTTTCTACACAGTGCTTGACCAGTCCAGTGTCACTAGAACATCACAGAATATTCGACATGTTTCTATAACGTTTGACATCCATCGTTGTTCTTCCGGGAGTTTACAGAGAATTTAGCATCTAAATATAATAACTTCCTCACCACCGCTTACATTAAATAGTACTACATTCCATAACTAATCATTGTCCAAATACAATGCATTGAACTTCTACTGAATCTAAACAGGAACAATGTAACACGGTCACAACCATTGTTCAATAATAAATTACACTGGCAGATAACAAAAGAATAATGATCTGCAACTCTTTTTTCGAGAAAATGTTATTAATCAAATTCAACATTACAATGCTGAATATTATTTTCTCTTGCCTAATCAACACGGCCTAATGTATACCATATTTTAGATGTGCACTGGAACAAAATGAATACACTTCACTGTATTTTACAAATATTATCAATATCAATAATGTCTAATACACACTCCGTTCTTCACTCTTATAACACAAATATTCATGACGACGGTTTTCAGTCAGCACAATGAACAGACAACTGTTTTGGTTTCATCATGTTTATTTAGTTTAATTCGTTTATAATCCAACTTGAACAATAAACAACCAACTAGGCATTAGGGTCCGGGAGCCGCTTTAATGTTAGTTCTGACTAGCCTTAAGTCGGCACATTGAACTCCATGTTTGGATGTTACAGGATAATAAGATATCTCCCAGCCCAGATAATAAAAGGTGAAACCATGCATGAGGATTGAAACATGGTAAAAGACGGTAGGGGGTTACCAATTTAACATACATTCTCATAACCTGAAGCCTTGTTATATTGTGATATCCCATGTATGCATCGCCTATCCAACATCCAAAATATTGGATTACTTACCCTGGAAGACCAACATGAAAGGCCCCGCCTCTACCGAAGTAATACCCTGTAATATGATCTGACAGGCCTTTCGAGTTGATAATAGGGGCGAGAGGGGCACGCCAGCTCGGCCAAAGGCAGGTAAGACGGGCGAACTGCCTCGGCTTGGGTCGGGCGAGAGGGGCGCGCCAGTTCGGCCGGCTCGGCTTGGGTCGGGCGAGACGGACAGCGGCGCCTCGGTTTGGAATTGGCAAGACGGTTCTGCTGGGCCACACTCACTACACTCAAATAATGAACATATCTACTCGGGAGCAAAGTGAAATGTGTTATGAGATGCTATGGCCTATCACAGAGTGGGCAAAACGGATTAGGCAAAGATAATTGATTTTATTAAAAATTTTGGACATATATTATTTGTAAGATAAACACGTCACATATATCTTAATGTAGTATTGACATTAAGTAAGTATAACTATCTGGCATACACTGTGCAATTCAATGCACCGACACTAGAATATGCATTATCATGTTCCTGTTTGAAACATGGTTGTATTATATCACATCACAATTCACTGTCACACATTTACCTTATATCAAATCAATTGTTATTATGCCTTGATCTTTTGGAAAATATTCTTCATTACACGGTTCTCTACACGGCGAATTGCAGTGCACTATACGACTGGGCCACAAGTGACCCCTCTTCGTGATACAGTTTTATAAATGATACAATGGGTTCTCTACACGGCGAATTGCAGTGCACTATACAGTGGGCCACAATTGACCCCTCTTCGTGATACAGTTTTATAAATGATACAATGGGTTCTCTCCATATTATTGACAATGCATGACCTGCTGGTGACGGTCTGCCTTGCTCAGCACCTGGGAGATAATTTCAGTCTGATGTCCTTTTCTGTCTGAAGAAGGTTGCCTGTCGTAAACGTCAATACTTCCTGTGAACAAACAAATGTATGAAAAGTAGTGAGCGTTCTATACGTTGACAAAAACCTAAATATTATGACTGAGTTTTTACGAACATGGTGATATGAACAGCACAATATCATGCTGGTGCAGGTATGGCCATCTTGATGAACAATAAATTGAGATAATTAAGATACGCAAAATTATCCAAAAGACGTACAAAGATGGTACTTGTTGTTACCTTGCCATTCATTAAGGAGCTAAAGCAAGGACTGGTTGGTTCGGAGTCAGAATACTGTGTCTAAGTGGGGTATTCATGTTACACTGCATCATTGTATCTCAGTGAGCTAGTATTATCAAGCCAGCATTAGTCCGGGCTAGTACAAACACACACACACACACACACACACACACACACACACACACACACACGTTCTTACACGTCGCTATACAAGTGCAACAATCTTGGACGCGACGTTGGACCCAATGTTACCTGACCTCACCTCCTTTACCTCTAATGTAACCTTCTCATCTTTGTTTCATGTGAGATGAACATTGAAATATTTCTGGTTTCGGTGTTTTGATTCCTAATGCTTATGATGATGATGAATATGATGAATGTTAAGATGATAAAGACGACGAAAAATATGATAATAATGAATACAGGACTGAATTGTACCTGTGTGTCTGGCATACGTTCAAACTTCACAGTTCTCAGAACATGAACAAGGGCTATTTTAACCTCCACCAGAGCAAGCCGCATCCCAATACAGATTCTTCACATCTTCATAAAATGATACCGTGGAATGTCCACGATTTATCCAACACAGTCCAACACACAAATTATAGTTCTAAATCTCTGGACGAGAACGAAATACGTTTGTCGTGATGCATATGAGCAGTGTAAATGAACAAGAAACATAATATGTGTTCGGGCACCAATCGTTATCCTGTGGTGTGCGGTATGTCTGCAGTTTATAAATAGCATTTCTCACAATATATACAGCAATCGGTGATTTCAACAATGTTTTTCTTCGTTGTGTTCGTCTTGCCTCATCTGGAATCTGGATGACAACGATCGTGTAAAAAACCCTGGTAATGGTCAAAAATATTTTCAAGTGATCAAAGTGGTTTCTTGTCGTTTTTTCATTGCCCCGTAGCAATGTATTTTGGCAAAGTCTCACTTGTCCGATGAAGCTCCTCATGCCGAAGTAACTCGATCCGTGAAACTTGGCGGGTCCCAGTGACCCAGATCCCTGTTGATTGGCATGCCAAGTGTCATTTGCATAAGGCCATCCATATTCAAGCCTCAACTAATCAGAGAGTGGGGGGTCGAAATAAAATATATGACTTATCAAAAAATGTCTTTCAATAATTGTGTAATTTATTTAATGACATTTTAAAAAAGGTTCAACACTTGGTACTAGAATCTAGTCTATGAATTAATCTATGATGTAGATAGATTCGCCTTTTTTCGGAAACGAATTTTTAATAAACATGGGAACAAAGATAAAGTTGACCTGGTTCTTTTATGACGGTGCAATTGTAGATCACGTTAATTCTGTCATGTGCGTGAAAATGGGTTTCAACATTACTTTCATCAAGCTTACATTCAGGTCGCTGGCTACTTCAGCAGTAGTGTCTTGTCTCGAAGCTCAAAGCAACAATGTTTCTCTCAGATACATTTTTCTCTCCATCCATGACGAACATCTGTCATAATGTCAATGCCTCAACAATCTTCCTTGGCAGTTCAACAATGTAATACACACAGCCTCATTCACGGCGTCATCGCAAAGATTCCTTCCAAATACCCACCACGTGATCAGGGTTACGACCTTGGGATAAATTGATAAATTATTTTGCATTTTTAGAAAAGATTTTTTTCGTGAATATTATTATTAAAAAATATCTTTAATAAATAAAATACTTTTTCATTGCACTGGGTTTTTCTTTTATTACTTTCGTTTGTGTTTACATTGTCAGTCTTTGTTCGAAACTGAAACACCGCCACCTTGCGGGCTATTTATAGTCAGGGTTGGGCTTTAAGACCGACACCATGGCAAAACCCCTATACAGTACCAGACCCTAAACCAAGAGCAACGCCAATGAACCCTTTCCATGATCATAAGACATTTCTGTTTAAAACTGAGACCATGTTACGATTCCAACTACATCACAACCATGTGTTTAATGAATTACTATCAAATAGTGATGATACGAAAATGAATTGTTTGATAGGCATTTGTGTGAAGTTGAAAGGCTAGACCAAGACTATTTCATTCCATGCGCCTTCTATGAGCCCATTAAGCACACGCTCCGTCTCCTATTATCCCTCTTACATACACTTAATGCCTTCTTGTTGGCTTCTCTGCCCATCATGCAGGTACAATACTTCTGTTGTTATTCTTAACCCAAGCTTGTTAATCTCTCCCATGTAAGTACACTGTGTTACTGTTAATCCTACACCTACTGTACCATATATAATTCTGTACCTAAAGACATGTCCATTCCTATTCCTCTTTTGTACTGGATTCCAAAGCTCCATCAAAATCACACCAAATCTGAATCAGTCGATCGGCCAGCAGCTTTCGTTGAGAAATATTGAATGTTGATTGAGAGATCTGGTAGCTGTGATTGGATGATCTTGTGTGAAATTTGTTGATGTTTTCAAATGAACATACATTGAGTAAATTAAAACAGACCAAGTTTTTTTTCAAATATTTAGTGTTGTCCTTTTGAACAGGATAACTAATCCTGATTGTGACCATGGCAATGTTTTCGAGCAGGTGACTTTTGGCGCGGGACTGGGGTTGGTGTGTTTAACTTCCTGTACTCGTAAAAGAAACTTGCTACGCTAGCCAAAAATTGTTTTTATTGTAGCCTTAAGGCTAGACTGTGCACACGTGGAAATGTAGTGGCTTTTGAATGCCTGCTAGTTATTTGTGTATATATTCATACATACAAATACACACACACACACACACACACTCAGACAAAAAAGCCTCAATGTAGAATTGGCGAATTGGGTAGAGTACCACTAAGCATTAAAATTGCTAAACGAGCCATACCATACTGGTGTAAGTAAGTATTACCTAATCCAAAGAATAAGATTACATCATTTACGTTGAAACGCAACAAGCTTGGTCATATTTATCCCTGGCTAATAGTTACTTCTCTCTGATCATATTTCTAAACCTTTACTGTTTTTGGAACTGGTAACCACACCTACCAATAGAAACAGGCCGATGAGAAACTATACCACGAGAACAAAGGATATGTATATTGTGTGACTAACAAGTAATTGGTGACGAGTTCCACTATTAATTCAGCTGTAATACACCTTTACCCTTACGTACTGAATGTGTTAATGAATACTAGACACACTGGCCAAACATAGTTAAATATCGTAAACTGTTCACAATTAATGGCAAAGTAAGTACTTAAGAAAACTGTCAAAGTTCCTCAGACATTTGAATGCTATACTGTGACGTATTCTACAATATTGACTTTTGCGGGTGACCTCGCTTAGGTGAACACTACCTAGCTGACTGTCTTTGATACATGTCCTGCAGTGTGTGTGTGTGTGTGTGTGTGTGTGTGTGTGTGTGTGTGTGTGTGTGTGTGTGCGCGTGATTGCGTGACTGCTTGTGGTGTGTGTGGGCGTGTGCGTGTATGTTGTATGTTTGTGTGTGGTGTGCGCGTGCATGCGTGCGTATGTGTGTGTTTATGAAATAAACGACGAGTAAGAGTGTTTTTATCGTACAAAATACACTGCTGGGAGAATAGACCATGATTGGCGGGGCTCTGAGTTGTCTTCTCCCAGTCTGCAATAAGCAACGACCACGAGCTGGAATATTGCTACTTTAAATTACAAACAAATATAGAAGACGTTAGGCGATTGCGTTTTGGGATGGTAAATATCATGTTTTATGAATATCCACAATGTATTTGCGAGCTAAATACATAGTGTTTATTCCTGATATACAATACTTTGTATATATAGCATTTCATTGAATATGAATATTGACGAATCAGCAAATAATCCTTACCACGTCTAAGCTAAACTGCTGACAATTTTCAACACAATGTCAGTATATTGTAAGCACTTCTTTAAATGCTTATAAGAAAAGATTTCATTTGTAAATAAAAGCGACAAAAGCATAATCCTAATCAGAAGAAAATTCTTCCATTTAAAGTATCTTGTGCGATTCCGACTATATCATACGCATGTGTTTATCAATCACTATCAAAGAGAAGTGGTCAAACTTCAGAGATAGCTGGTCTTGATGTAATGTCAGATGACATGTGAGATGATAGACACGTGCTCTCTCCACTTATATAGTCAAACTAGCTTCCAGCACTTTCTACACAGTGCTTGACCAGTCCAGTGTCACTAGAACATCACAGAATATTCGACATGTTTCTATAACGTTTGACATCCATCGTTGTTCTTCCGGGAGTTTACAGAGAATTTAGCATCTAAATATAATAACTTCCTCACCACCGCTTACATTAAATAGTACTACATTCCATAACTAATCATTGTCCAAATACAATGCATTGAACTTCTACTGAATCTAAACAGGAACAATGTAACACGGTCACAACCATTGTTCAATAATAAATTACACTGGCAGATAACAAAAGAATAATGATCTGCAACTCTTTTTTCGAGAAAATGTTATTATTCAAATTCAACATTACAATGCTGAATATTATTTTCTCTTGCCTAATCAACACGGCCTAATGTATACCATATTTTAGATGTGCACTGGAACAAAATGAATACACTTCACTGTATTTTACAAATATTATCAATATCAATAATGTCTAATACACACTCCGTTCTTCACTCTTATAACACAAATATTCATGACGACGGTTTTCAGTCAGCACAATGAACAGACAACTGTTTTGGTTTCATCATGTTTATTTAGTTTAATTCGTTTATAATCCAACTTGAACAATAAACAACCAACTAGGCATTAGGGTCCGGGAGCCGCTTTAATGTTAGTTCTGACTAGCCTTAAGTCGGCACATTGAACTCCATGTTTGGATGTTACAGGATAATAAGATATCTCCCAGCCCAGATAATAAAAGGTGAAACCATGCATGAGGATTGAAACATGGTAAAAGACGGTAGGGGGTTACCAATTTAACATACATTCTCATAACCTGAAGCCTTGTTATATTGTGATATCCCATGTATGCATCGCCTATCCAACATCCAAAATATTGGATTACTTACCCTGGAAGACCAACATGAAAGGCCCCGCCTCTACCGAAGTAATACCCTGTAATATGATCTGACAGGCCTTTCGAGTTGATAATAGGGGCGAGAGGGGCACGCCAGCTCGGCCAAAGGCAGGTAAGACGGGCGAACTGCCTCGGCTTGGGTCGGGCGAGAGGGGCGCGCCAGTTCGGCCGGCTCGGCTTGGGTCGGGCGAGACGGACAGCGGCGCCTCGGTTTGGAATTGGCAAGACGGTTCTGCTGGGCCACACTCACTACACTCAAATAATGAACATATCTACTCGGGAGCAAAGTGAAATGTGTTATGAGATGCTATGGCCTATCACAGAGTGGGCAAAACGGATTAGGCAAAGATAATTGATTTTATTAAAAATTTTGGACATATATTATTTGTAAGATAAACACGTCACATATATCTTAATGTAGTATTGACATTAAGTAAGTATAACTATCTGGCATACACTGTGCAATTCAATGCACCGACACTAGAATATGCATTATCATGTTCCTGTTTGAAACATGGTTGTATTATATCACATCACAATTCACTGTCACACATTTACCTTATATCAAATCAATTGTTATTATGCCTTGATCTTTTGGAAAATATTCTTCATTACACGGTTCTCTACACGGCGAATTGCAGTGCACTATACGACTGGGCCACAAGTGACCCCTCTTCGTGATACAGTTTTATAAATGATACAATGGGTTCTCTACACGGCGAATTGCAGTGCACTATACAGTGGGCCACAATTGACCCCTCTTCGTGATACAGTTTTATAAATGATACAATGGGTTCTCTCCATATTATTGACAATGCATGACCTGCTGGTGACGGTCTGCCTTGCTCAGCACCTGGGAGATAATTTCAGTCTGATGTCCTTTTCTGTCTGAAGAAGGTTGCCTGTCGTAAACGTCAATACTTCCTGTGAACAAACAAATGTATGAAAAGTAGTGAGCGTTCTATACGTTGACAAAAACCTAAATATTATGACTGAGTTTTTACGAACATGGTGATATGAACAGCACAATATCATGCTGGTGCAGGTATGGCCATCTTGATGAACAATAAATTGAGATAATTAAGATACGCAAAATTATCCAAAAGACGTACAAAGATGGTACTTGTTGTTACCTTGCCATTCATTAAGGAGCTAAAGCAAGGACTGGTTGGTTCGGAGTCAGAATACTGTGTCTAAGTGGGGTATTCATGTTACACTGCATCATTGTATCTCAGTGAGCTAGTATTATCAAGCCAGCATTAGTCCGGGCTAGTACAAACACACACACACACACACACACACACACACACACACACACACACACACACACACACGTTCTTACACGTCGCTATACAAGTGCAACAATCTTGGACGCGACGTTGGACCCAATGTTACCTGACCTCACCTCCTTTACCTCTAATGTAACCTTCTCATCTTTGTTTCATGTGAGATGAACATTGAAATATTTCTGGTTTCGGTGTTTTGATTCCTAATGCTTATGATGATGATGAATATGATGAATGTTAAGATGATAAAGACGACGAAAAATATGATAATAATGAATACAGGACTGAATTGTACCTGTGTGTCTGGCATACGTTCAAACTTCACAGTTCTCAGAACATGAACAAGGGCTATTTTAACCTCCACCAGAGCAAGCCGCATCCCAATACAGATTCTTGGACCATATCCGAAAGCCAGGAAGGACAGCGGATTGGACTTTTCATCATGTCTGAAAATTGCAGTAAATGAAATAATGTCAGACTGCGGGCTGTGTCGGACAGATATTATATTTTAGTCACATATCTTTCATTATCATATAATGGGTAGGTTTCTCGGCAGGATAAAGCCAACGGATAAAAACGATATTCGCTGGGGTCATATGCGGATAGAGATGCAATTATCAAAGGTCAAGAAGGGACTACTTTCACTGTTTATAAACAAACATGGCGTCGCCCTCGTCATTCGGCGATCCATTCAGAATTAACCATCGGGAATCTGGATAAACTACAGGGATAATTGCTATCATTATCAAAAGAACAGTCTAATATACTGAAAATCAGAGTCTAACCGTGACGTAGCTAAGGCATTTTATAAGTTCTTACAACTTTGGAGATATAAATTTCGAAACAATTTTGTGAGGGCACGAGGCCTAGCCAAGCGGGATCAGTAGCCATATCTGTGCTTGTAGACCTCTGCGGCTAGAAACCTTCTCCACAAATTAAAATAGTTGGATTTGGCCGAAATATGTTTGAATTGTTTCCTTGTTTCGTTTTGTCGCTGTGTGTACATCTAACTACACTTCTTAACGTTATGACAGGACAGACCGACTGTCATCAACGTCTGACCGTGGCCGTGACGCCTTATAGACTAGGGTTAGAGTAGCTTCCCTTTGACAAAGGGCAGTTACTCTAGCGGACAGACCGATGAATTGCGGCGAAAGGCAATTAAAAACAATTGTAGTTTTGCGTATTTGTTGGTTCGCCACTGTATAAGAAACAGATTCCAGTTGGAACTATATTGGCTACTGTCACTGTCCGACTGACACATCACTTACCCTGTGACGTTATAAATATTAATGCGCGTTTTCCAGGAAAACTCGCAATGTTTCTGTAATGTTTGTGAGAGAGGGAAATTAAAGAATTACAGGATTAAAAAATGACATTACATGATAAAGAGGTTATCACGCTTGTGTGTTTGAGGATGGCATATATTCTGTATTAGGAATAAACACTATGTATTTAGCTCGCCGAGGCTCGCAAAATACAACGTTTATGCCTAATGCAGTATATTTACCATCCCCAAACACACTCGCTTGATAATCTCAATTTATATTCAATCTAAAATTTAAATATCTTTATCTTAATCTTTGTTAACACAATATGATTATGAACTTTGGTATTCCTTGTTTGCAGACCCAGTCTGACTACAAACAAAGCAAACTGAGCTCAGAAAGGGGGGTCTGTTTTCATAATGATGGATGCTGACACAAACTGTTAATAGTGTCCATGTGTGTGTATCAAGGTGCATGTATGTGTAGACAGACAGACAGACAGACGTGTGTGCCATGTCCCACTGCTAGTTTTAGGGTGGGTGAGCAGCTGCCTGGAGGAGAGTCACTACGGCAATATCATCAGATACATCTGATGGATAGCATTACCTTTCTGGTTTGAAGGACTCTGGATCCTTGAAGAGCTGAGGGTCTCTTTGCATGGCGAATGCAGGTATAAAGACAGTTTGACCCTCAGTGATTTTCAAGCCTTTGATCTGAATATTCTCAGAAGCTCTGCGATGTAATCTGAAATAGACGAATTATGAATACGCATTTGGACTTCTGATGTTGTAATGGGGAGAGATATGTTCTCAATATTGTATTCCAGTGCTCCAGTAATGTTTCGTCGGACACGTGTTTATTAAGCTTATCCAGCAGTGGTACAGATCAGTTTGACAAACGCTGAATGCTGACCATCATTGGTTGCTTTAAAACGAACTTCGCCAAATCATCGCCTTTCCAAAAATGTCCGATAACTTATCAAACACCTGTGCCTCTACCTCATCTGATGAGATATTGATATGTACTTCAAGTCTCGCGATGTCACCTTCAGCTTTGGCATATATCTACAGCTGCATTTGTGGTACTATATTGGTGAAATATGTCCGTATCATATAACAATTGCATTCAAAAGACAAAGACAAATGTGTTAATGGCGTAACCCTTGCTATGAACTTGGTAGTGACCTTAACCTTACTCCTTCAGATGCAACAACTTGTACGTACGGGAACGCGGACCTGTGCCTACCGCACAAGTTAAAAATCAGGTGAAGTTAAGCAACGTTGGTCGCAAAGATTACGTGTAGTTGGTCAGCTTAACTTTTGAGGGTTTCTAGGGCTTCCGCCCTGCCCCACACTGAAGCACGTGTTCGTTCGTTTGTTGCCTAACGCCGCACTCAGCAATATTCCAGCTACATGACAGCGATCTGTAAATAATCCAGTCTGAACCAGACAATCCAGTGACTGATATCATGGGCATCAGTTTACACAAATGGGATACGATGACTGCATCAACCAAGTCAACGAGCCTAACCATCAGATCCCGTTAGTCGCCATTTACGCCAAGCATGGATTGTGGAGACCTATTCTACACCGGATCTTCACGGGTCTTGTAACTGTTGTACACGTACGCAGTAGCTGGTGGGTAGAGTCGGAGCGTCTCGGTGATGACGTTGTCCAGATACTTCAGTTTCCCTATGTTGTCGTAGTTGGGTTCCTCCTGGGGAAAAGAAAACTTCTTTCAACAATCGGACATCTGTTCCTGAACAGGTATAACTATTATCCTGCCCCAAGGCTCTAAACACTGGACTGTAACTTCATACATTCTTGTTCTTATTATACAATGATAATAAATTGCTTGAAGCGAATCTTTAAGGAACGCACGTGTTCTCATATTATATCATATGGCTAAAAGGGATCATAGCTATGCACCGAGGTGTTGAAACTGACATTTCCAAGCATTTCTTTGATTTCATTATACGCCTTCTCCTGTACATTCGGGTTCATGGCGAGACTGTGCGACGCAAAAGTCAGTGTCGAAGCAGTTGTGTCGTATCCAGCAATGAAGAAAATTATCCCTTGGCCAACTATTTCATCTGTTGATAGACCTGCAAAAGTCGTTTTTCACAATAGAATACACAAACGAGGTTATGTTAATTATGTTTGTTGGTTAACGCCACACACAGTAAGATTCCGGAGATAATTTGCTGGTAGACAGTGAATAATCGTGTCGTGTCAACCAAACCACTGACTGATAAAATGAGCAACGTCCCACGCCGTTGGTGTAACGATGTTAAGCAATCAACTAAGTCATCAATCACCCGCCTTGTGAACTCTTTAAGGCCACGTTATCACACAACTCAGTGCAGGATGTGTCTGTACTCACGTTTGACTGTATGTTTCGCAGAGATCTGACCGTTTTCGTCTCTATCTGCCTCTACCTCAGCGTCCACCATAAGTTGCAGGAAGTCGACTCTTTGCTATAAATACGAGAAGAACAATACTTAATTTGATTCAAGATGTCATAAAATCATTAAAGGAAGGCTATTTTCATTGTTCTCTTAGAATCTTATTGGTGGTATTAATGTTCATAAATCCAATATAGGATAAATCAATGGATAATTTAAGTCATACCAATTTGCCACCTGGCTGCTGCATTGAAGCGACAATCATTATTAGCAGCCTGTGGAATAGTATTACGGGATAAAAATGATCTACAAATAGTCATGGAACTTATCTTAGCAAACATTGCTGCTTCTATGTGGTCAACACTGCCATCTATTCCTTACCAATAAATATTTTGAACTCATATCTTTACAATGCCTTCTAACGACCAGTCACTTTGATTGTACACAATCCGGTCAATTACAAATTATCCTACAAGTATATGACCAAAGAATGAGTTTAGTATGCATCTCAGGGCATGGTACATGACAAAAATGATCATTTACAAAAAGTGATATCTTACCTCTCGATGTTCCTTTGTGTCGTTTTGTCGTTGTTTGATCATATCCGAGACAGTCGTTTGAAAAAAGGTAATGGCTCTTTTTCTAAAGACTCCCAACCCCAGTTTGGAGATGAACCACCCAATTGGAGGAAAGATTCCTGTACAAGAGGAAATCGAGCGAATTTCTTTTTAAGGCAGACATGTGAAGGTTGGTTGGTTGGTTGGCTGGTTGTTGTTTAACGCCACACTCAGCAATATTCCAGCTATATGACGGTCTGTTAATAATCGAGTCTGGACCAGACAATCCAGTGATTGACAACATGTGCATCGATCCACGCAATTGGGATCGATGACATGTATCAACCAAGTCAGCGAGCCTGACCACCCGATCCCGTTAGTCGCCTTTTACGACAAGCATAGTCGCCTTTTATGGCAAGCATGGGTTGCTGAAGACCTATTCTACCCCGGATCTTCACGAGTCGACATGTGAAGGACATTTCCAAATTCGAGGCTTTAGTGACAAAAATGATGTCCGATGCAATTCCCTACTTTGACTTGTGCCACATGTTTCCGTGGTTTCTTTTAGGTGAACACTTGACTTGCTTTTGCATGTGTTAGTGACGGGTGTAACTGGTGGTGCAGGATACGCTCACCTATTTGCGAGCACCTGGTATCATCACCATTTGATAGTGATTCATAAACACATGCTCATGATATAGTCGGAATCGTACAATCGACTCTGCTCTTTACAGATATTTCTTATGAATGTGGAAAGGCTTTGCTTACTTTTGTTATGAACGTGGGTTTGAACAATATTTATCCCGACGTGACAGCTTTATGAATGAGGAAAGCCCGAAGATATACACGTTTTAGATATCTACCACTATGACGAAAGTATGAGCAACAAATGACTCTGCTAAAAATAGAGTTCATTGAATTATTCTGACTGTATCTTAAGCATGTGTTTATTAATCATTATGACGCAATATACCACATTAAGGTTGACCATAGGAAGCTATTGACGTCCTAGAATATATTTTGGTATGTTTCATTGAACCTGTATGCATATATCTATACCGAACAACAAAAGTTCCTGTGCCATTGAATAAGATTTAATGCAACAAATCTGAAACAATTTCGGTTTGCAACAGATAAAAGACTCCTGTAGGTGTTCAAATGGTTTAATTTGCCCTATTGACTTCAGAAAATGCGTGATTTCATAAAAAAGAATGAACATGCCAAAATATCAAATTACAAATCAAAGGCGTGTGTGTCCACCTCTGGTTGCGATGCAACGGATAAAAGACTCCTGTAGGTGTTCAAATGGTTTAATTTGCCCTATTGACTTCAGAAAATGCGTGATTTCATAAAAAAGAATGAACATGCCAAAATATCAATTTACAATTTAAAAAGCAAAGGCGTGTGTGTCCACCTCTGGTTGCGATGCAAGACATCTTCGTCTCATGGAATGGACCAGGCGTCGCACAAAGTCCTGTGGGATATCTGTCCATATCTGCTGGAGCATGTTTCGAAGTTCCTGGAATGTCTGTGGTTGACGTCGAAGGCGCCGATCCATCTCATCCCACATGTGCTCGATTGGAGAGATCAGGGGAGCGAGCCGGCCAGGGGATGACAAGGACAAGTCGAGCAATTTGAAGACGGGCGTTGTCATGCTGAAATGTAATGCCTGGGCCATGACGATGCAAAAACGGTAGAACAACAGGGCCGATGATCTCGTCGCGGTAGCGCTGTCCATTGAGATTTCCTTCTACCACTATCAAACGGGTCCTCTGTCTTGGTGTAATCCCACCTCATACCATAACGCTGCCGCCCCGAGCCGATCTTCTTCAATGACACAATGATTGACGTAACGTTCAACTCGACGTCGGTACACTCGAATCCATCCATCGCTGTGGCTGAGGTCAAAACGAGACTCGTCAGTGAATAGAACTTGTCTCCACTGCATGGCCGTCCAGCGTAGACGCTGTCTGCACCACTGTAGACGTGCTTGACGGTGGTTTCCTGTCAAAATGGGACGTCTGGCGGGTCTTCTGTTGACAATCCATGCACATCTGAGGCGGTTTGTGAAGATATTCGTCGAAGGCCAGGGATGCTTCTTACATTCACTGTTGCTGGCTGGAATCGATTTCGTAGGTGTGTTGTTCGAATCCAGTTGTCTTGTCGAGTATTGGTTACGCGTGGCATGCCATTCCGAGGATGGTCTCTGACTGCATTCGTCTGTATTCGTCTGTTGCCGACGTTGCCATTAACACCAAATGGTGTTAAATTGTCTTGCAACATCACGTTGACTCGATCCTGCTTCAAGCATACCAATGGCTCGCAAATGCTCATTTTCGGACAGGCGTGGCATTACGTAATGTTGAATAATTGCGTAATTTTGTGGTTTTTTGTTATTTTGAGTGGTTGTTGTCAGCACGATGCTAAACAATGCATATGGAATCCCGTTAACGCACATGCTTTATTCCCATTCTTGGGTAGTGAAATGCAAGGGGCTTGCATAAAAGTCAACTTTTGCATGGAATGCATGCTTTTCTGTAGCAGTTGCGTTTTTGTGACTTGATTCCATACATGTACCACAATATTGAAAAACAAATTTTACTTGTTTGAAAAATACACTAAAATATTGGTGTCACAGGAACTTTTGTTGTTGAGTATATACATGTATATACAACAGATGAGTCGGTGTCACGGGTCGCCTCTCTATTTTAAGCTCACGGGTATATCAGTGGAAGGGAATTGTCAATATGCCCATAACTGAGCATTATCAGATCACCAATAAGCCTTATAAGTTTGGCCTTATTCCAGTGTTTCGATTTTGCCAATCCCAGCAGAAGTTCGTATTTATTTGCATAATGAAAAGGATGAGCAAGAAGATCACAATTGTCTCCATGGGAATGCCTACTTCTTGCATAAATGTCCTATACCGAAATATGACTCAGATTTATAACTTCACAACTGTCTTCACTTTTGACAAGTTGATTTTTGAAGACTTTTGAAGATAGGGATATGGGTATATCTATGGACAAATGTCCCATGGGTAAAGGGATGATCTGTTTCCGTCTGTTCGTCGTGTGTGATAGTGATGTATAACGTGAACAAATCAAATGTTTGACAATTTAACTTTGTTCTTTTCTCAAATTTACCAAAATGTTCTAACAAATTCATTGAGTTTTTGAGAATCCACATGGTTATGATTCCATTTGTCTCAAATATTGTCTGTGAATTTAAAGAAAGTCCTGCCTTAATTGTATTAAGGATTATGGTTAATCTTTGTGACAGAGAATTTTGTGGTACAATTGCTTGACCCTGTAAGGGTATGAAGGGTTTGAAGTCAAGCCAAAGATTGATACTAATAACGCGTTGTTTTGACAGATTCTTTCCTCAGTTAACACACATGGCCTGTGTTGGCTGTTGAATGAAAAGGGTTTTTTCTTTAAGAAGTGTGCAACGTACCTGCTACTATTGGTAGTAGACCTCTTGCATTTGATCGTGACAGTATCACCTTCGCATTAGCCACAAACGGGTTGTTGAAATCGTTTTGAGAATCAACCTTGATACCAAAGGCAGTCCGTGTAATGACGTCCATGGTGTAAGCTCCGAAATAACTGAAAAAGATTACCATGTTCTTTTTCATATAAATGCTGTGTTACAGAAAGGGACATTCGGTATGGTTTCTTCGAGACTTTTGACTTTTGTTAGCGGCAGAAGAATTTGCTTTCATTCACTGCTTCGAAACAAACAATACCTGCAATATCAACATGTTTCGGGATGTCCAGCGAAAATCTGGAATAACTGGTCTTTGATGATGTTCAATGTTTGATGATACTTGGTTGTCAATACCCTCGAATGTGGTAGTAGTCTACACGTGTTCAGGTTGGGAATAGAATATTCATAAGAGCAACAAAACCATTTCTATATTCATAAGAAATATAGAATTGGATTTGACATTTGGGGAACTGAAGCGTCAAATTTGGAAATGTCCTCCTCATGTATACCATGAAAGTTTTACTGAGGCCTTGAATGTTGGAACCTTAATCAACCAACTTTTGAGCAAGAGTCATGTGGCACTCTTTGGAAACTTGGTAGAAAGAGCATGCTCGATTGTAGCTTGTGACATGTATACTCCAAAGGCTGAAGCTGCCAGGATATTGCTCGATCCAGATGACTATTGGAAATTTGAAGTTATCCCTCTTGTCATACAGTCTTGTGGAGTGTGTTTAGTCACTCTGAATCTTTATGCATAGAACTAATTATGAAACAGATGAGGCGCTCTCATTGGTCTCCTATAATCTCTAGTTCAGGTTGGTAAATCAGTGGTTTGTTTGCTTGCTTGTTGTTTAACGCCGCACTCAGCAATATTCCAGCTTTTTGATGACAGTTTGTAAATAATCGAGTCTGGACCAGACAATCCAGTGATTGAAATCATGAGCATCGATCTACGCAATTGGTTTTTTGGTTGGTCGATTTTTGTAAATAATCGCGTCTGGATCAGCCAATCCAGTGACATCATGGGCATCGACACACAATTGGGATACGATGACATGCATCAACCAAGTCAGCCTGACAATCCGATCCCGTTGGTCGCCTCCTACGACAAGCAAATTCGCCTTTAACGGCAAAAACGGGTTCATTGGTTGCTGAAGACCTATTCTAACCCGGATCGTCACGGGTCGTAAATCGGGGGATGAGAATTGGCTATTTGATGCCTCTTGAAACTAAAGTTTGACATCTTGGCCAAATTACCTTTTCTGACTGAAAATGCGAGCAGAAATTCCGATTGAAATACAGAACGGATCATGGATCTACCCGTGGGGATGCTTACGAGTTGCCTGACTTACACCAAAATTGTACATGGATGTTTTCAATGAGGAAGACCAGCAATTCAAATATTGTTTTCTCTGTAAATTTGAGATGGTATTTACTTTCATTTTTGACAAAGTGCCCGGAACCTACGAAGATAGATATCTAACTATATCTAGGGACATCAGGGGCACGGGTGGCCGACTCGTCTCAGGTGCTGCGATTCGCTGTGTAGAGTTGCGTCCCTTGGGCACGCCAGAAACCTATGATTGTTGGTTCGAATCCCGGTTCGCCCCGATTATGTTTCTAGGTTTGTCAGCACCATACCCGTGCTCGTGGGTTTAACCGTAGTGGTACACGTCTGAGACTTGCATCACTTGGGGCTTTCCTTCCACATGAAGCTGATATGCCGTGATATAACTGGAATACTGTTAAAAGCGGTGTTAAACCCAACTCATTTACTCTGCCCCATCAATCAATGAATGAAGTTTTCCCTTAACATTGTTGTATGGTGTACAAAGTTTGAAAATCAACTGCTTTGACAGAATTTAACTTGGTTCTTTTCTCAGACTGCAAAACATCAAGCAAATCCATTGAGTTTTTGAAAATCAACATGGTATTATTTCCACTTGTCTCAAACACTACTTTCTGTGACTATAATGAAGGCCGTTCCTTGGTTGTATTAAGGATTACGGTCGATCTGTGAGACAGGGAATTGGTGGTTTGGTTGCTCGACCCAGCAGTTTGCCATGTAAACACAATACTCACTCTTTCATTATCACCCCTTCCTTTTTCGTGAGGGCTTTATAGAAGTTACTTGACAGAGTCGTTGCACAGTCGTTGATGGCAGCAGCCATCTAGAAACAAAAGAGACAACACACATCCTATACACTGGTTTTTTGTGTGTAAAAGTATACCATTCATGAAATGGGACAGAACATCGAGCTAACAACATGCACGAACACGGTACACACCAATAAAGTTTTTTTGGTTGGTTGGTTTGTTGTTCAACGCCGCACTCAGCAATATTCCAGCTATATGACGGCGGTCTGTAAATAATCGAGTCTGGACCAGACAATCCAGTGATTATCACGCGCATCGATCCACAGAATTGTGATCGATGACATGCATCAACCAAGTCAGCGAGCCTGACCACCCAATCCCGTGTCTAAGGACAAGCATAGTCGCCTTTTACGGCAAGCATGGGTTGCTGAGGACCTATTCTACCCCGGATCGTCACGGGTCACCTATAAAGGCTAAAGGACCGGTCCGGGTCAGATGTACACTTGTTTGTTGTTGTTGTAACGCTACACTCAAAACTACCACTGAATGACGACGGCCTGTACATGATCTGGTCTGTACCGGACAATCCAGTCATTAACACGTTATCAGCCAACTTGCCGAGCATAACCACCCGATCCATTACGTATCCTCGCACGACGAGAAGGTTACTGGGGAACTATTCTAACCTAGGAATCCAACTCGAGTGACTCACCTTTCTGAGTTTGCCGCCGCTGAAGCTAGGGGTGATTATACCTCTCACTCTCTTCCAGTCGGAATCGTCCAAGAAAAACACACTCAAATTTAATGGGAAGGTCACAAGTGGGAATTTCTGGAAATATATAAAGGACATATTACAGTGAGTGAGTGAGTGAGCAATATTACGGCGGGAGACACCAGAAATGGGCTTCACACATTGTACCCATGTCGGGAATCGAACCCGGGTCTTCGGCGTGACGAGCGAACGCTTTAACCACTAGGCTACCCGACCGCCCCGGACATGTTACAATGGACATGTAACACTAAACTATAATATGCTCACTATCAGAGTGAGTGAGTTTGGTTTGAATATCGCGTTTAACACAATTTCTGTTACTCATGACGTGCCACCAGAGGATGAGATATTCTTCCTCGTATATCCTTTACGCTACAAACGTGTTTACCCTTGAAACAATATCATGGATAAGCTACTTGAACATTTTGTTTACCATCCGGTTCCTGAAAGTGTTGAAGCTCTTGACAAAAACCTCCTTCAGAATGTCCAGATCAGATATAACTAAAGCTGGCTTTCTTCCCATGAATATCCTATAGTCAAGAAACAACATAAAATCATGCTTAAACATTGAATAAGAAAACAGAAAGTTGCACGCAACATTACATGTTCGGATACGGATGCTTTGCTTTTAAACAAATAATTCAAAACAATTCATTTAGCACAATTTTAGAAGCATGTGGACTACTTGTGATAAGTGTGTTCGGGGGCATCACGAAAACCCGGAAAGTAACAACTGGATAGAGTGAGTCAATGTTGTCACGTGCCACGTGTGAATGCGCTGTGACGGGCAACGATATTTCAGCTATCATGGCGGCCTGTTGGTAATAATTGTGTATGAGCCAGGCAAACCTGCAACGACACCGTTACAAAACCTGACCACCAATTGATTTTAGTCGAATTAGATAGACCACGGCATATAAAACTGTTATTGCACGGCGCCATGATAGGTGCTAAATTTGTTTTTGGTTTGAGAAAGTTAGATTGGGATGTTTAATAGTTGGAAAGATGTAAAGAAACTTTTGTCTCACATATGTAAAATGATATGTGTACATACGAAATACATAAATAATTATGACGCATACGAGTATCAAGGACGCATGTCACTATCACGTTCCAGAACATCCGAAAAACATGTGCCAAGTCAAATCATGAAGTGTATGAGATGCACCTACCCATATACGTTTCCATATTGTCGGTTCCATTCTTTGAATTTGTAGAAGAAATCCTTTAAAAGTAGAAAGAGAAAAAGGTTTCTGGGACATTTCGCCTCTAATGGTGATTCTTTTTTAAATAAAGGTACCATGGCACTAAACCCCAACTGGATATGAAATCAACTGTTTTAAGATGTCAACCGGGAGAGTCACTCCGCAGAAGTTGCTATCAGCAATTATGTCCATACATTTTCTGCATAATTCCACATTGGTTCTCAATTGGCAAGAAAATATATAAGTAACATTTATTTTAGACATCTAATAAAATTTCAACCTAATTATAAAGCCATTATGCTGCAAAGCGAATGTTCATCTTTCTAACGCCAGACATGAGATACTTATACATCAGAGTAGATGGGACCTGCGAATAGCATTTTCCTCATGTGAATGAGAGCTTCGGCAATTGCTTTTCATATTCTACACACATACATCATGAAGGGACAAATATGGAAAGTACATTCTGTAATTTCATGAAATGCCTGATCGTCATTTCCTGAATGACCTAACATATGTGTGGTTAATCAATTTACACATATATCTTACGTATCCTTCTTGGCAGAATTGCTTATCAGAATACAAAAAGAAACACGAAAAAGTGATAAACATTTTCCAACCGACTGTAATACATAACACTGATCAAGTAGTTAAATGATTATATGTGAACCTACCAACGAGGAGGTGTTCCCAACAAGGGGATATGGTGCTGGTCCAGAGATGCCGAGATTCTTGAAGTAATTGAAGTTCCAGGATCCATATCTGTAACAAACCAACCATTGTAATACACGAAGCTCTAATGTCAAAGATCTAAAGTTCTTGGACACATTGGGGATGTAAAGGTCAAAAGTCTTTCAGCCGAAGTTGTGGTTTCATTGGGCACTCTCAAATTTTCTGTCATCCATGTGCTTTGTTTCTTTCTTTGTTGTTTAACGCCACACTCAGCAATAGTGCAGCTATATGACGGGTCTGGACTAGACAATCCAGTGACTGACATCATGAGCATCGATCCACCCGATCCCGTTAGTCGCCTTTTACGACAAGCATAGTCGCCCTTTACGGCAAGTATGGGTTGCTGAAGACCTATTCTACCCCGGATCTTCACGGGTGTGTGCTTTCTTATTATGATGAAATTTGACTTTGGCTCGTGATATAGTCGGAATCGTATAATATACTTTGTTCTTGGCAGATATTCCTTATGAATGTGGAAAGGGTTTTCTAATTTGATTTCAATCCTAAAGGGAATACACACTTGGTGTGTTCTATCTACACACAAGAAATTAGCTATCGTCTCACAGCCTAAACTCCACCTGAACACCGCCAGGCCTACAACGGACTTGGCACAATATTGACATAAACATGTACAAATACAGCAAAGTAAATACTAATGGTAGCTAGGGAAATTGAGACTTTGACAGTCTAGTAGCACAGGTGTTAGCTTGAGTGAGTGAGTGAGTTTGGGTTTAACGCCGCTTTTAACAGTATTCCAGTTATATCACAGCGTGTCAGCTTAATGTGGGAGGGAAGCCCGAAGTGATGCAGGTCTCAGACGTTTACCACTTCGGTGAAACCCACGAGCACGGGTATGGTGCTGACAAACCTAGAAACATAATCGAGGCGAACCGGGATTCGAACCCACAATCATAGGTTTCTGGCGTGCCCAAGGGACGCAACTCTGCACAGCGAATCGCGGCGCTTTAGACGACTGGGGGTTGCAGGTTCGTATTCCGCCGAATTTACAAATCTCTGTGTTCCTTAATGTGTTGTTGCTGTAGGACTGACAGTATTCCTCTCATACAGGAGGCTGACAATGAGATTATCTCTTATTACTACGACAGACACTTTTGTTTTTTTTCAGTTGACATCCCCTGGACTTGTCAATTTGACTAAAGGAACGAGATGCGTTGACAAAAGAGACCTGACAATTGGACTGATGTGAATAGACAATTTGACTATTTGTCGCTAGTCATGACAATTTTGATGAGTCAATTTCATTCATATAGCAAGTCAAATTGATTCATATAGCTAGTCAGACTAACTAATTCAACTAGTCAAATTGATTCATATAGCTAGTCAGACTGACTAATGCAACTAGTCCGTTTGAATACTGGGGGCTCATCGTTTTGACTAATCTTCAAGTCAAATTGACTTTTAGTGTCATTTTCTGGACAATCAATATGACCAGTTTACCTAATCAAGTTGACCAGAGGTTTTCCTTCACTGGAATTAATGCAGAAAATGTAGATACTATGCATGTAGTGACTGTAATAAATCACTTTATACATGTCTCTATAAATACTGAGGATATTTTCTGGGATATTCGATGGAGGGGAACATACGAGTGACCGTCGGTTTGTGAGCAAGAATCGCTGAGCATTACTGGGGCGGTGCTAGTCCTTCTTGAGCCGAAAACCCCGTGAAAATCCAGGTTAGATTTGGTCTTCAACGCTGTGTGCTTGTCTTGAGGGGCGACTGACGGGATCAGGTGGTCAGACTTGCTGACTTAGCTGATGTATTTCAATAACTGATTTGTCTGTTCCGTGCTCGATTATTTAAAGGGCGCCGTCAAACAACACACAAACACGAACCGACAGTTACAAGAACAGGACAAAAGAGGGATCAACAGAGTTTATTGTAGTCCTCAATGTGTCGCTGTTATAGAGATCGATCTTCAAATCACAGGTTGTGGTTCCAGGACCGCTGGCTATTCGGATTTCCCGAGTCAACTCCAAGTGTACATTATTGCAAATATGGGTTAAAGAACATATAGGCATGAAATGTATATCAAAAACTAAGGCGACCAACCAGCAACACTTTTGTCACAATCATGGGCACAGGTGAAAGTTACACACTGTATGAAGTAATTGCTCTTTTGTTTGCCTGTCTGTTGTACATGCGTTTATCAGAATCATGTACAATGAAATAGAATTTTCGTGATAATCAAAACGGGATTCAAAAGGATTGAAATTGTAGCTAGGTCATATGGAGCTCACTAGGGAGCCTTTGTTCTCGCCTGATGTTGTTTCTGTAGCCAGATCATATGGAGCTCACTAGGGAGCCTTTGTTCTCGCCCCATGTTGTTTCTGTAGCCAGGTCATATGGAGCTCACTAGGGAGCCTTTGTTCTCGCCCCATGTTGTTTCTGTAGCTAGGTCATATAGAGCTCACTAGGGAGCCTTTGTTCTCGACCCATTTTGTTACTGTACCCAGGTCATATGGAGCTCACAAGGGAGCCTTTGTTCTCGCCCGATGTTGTTTCTGTAGCCAGGTCATATGGGGCTCACTAGGGAGCCTTTGTTCTCGACCCATTTTGTTACTGTAGCCAGGTCATATGGAGCTCACTAGGGAGCCTTTGTCCTCGCCCCATTTTGTTTCTGTAGCTAGGTCATATTGGGCTCACTAGGGTGCCTTTGTCCTCGCCCGATGTTGTTTCTGTAGCCAGGTCATATGGGCCTCACTAGGAAGCCTTTGTTCTCGCCCCATGTTGTTTCTGTAGCTAGGTCATATGGGGCTCACTAGGGAGCCTTTGTCCTCGCCCCATTTTGTTTCTGTAGCTAGGTCATATTGGGCTAACTAGGGTGCCTTTGTCCTCGCCCGATGTTGTTTCTGTAGCCAGGTCATATGGGGCTCAATAGGAAGCCTTTGTTCTCGCCCCATGTTGTTTCTGTAGCTAGGTCATATGGAGCTCACTAGGGAGCCTTTGTTCTCGCCCCATATTGTTTCTGTAGCCAGGTCATATGGGGCTCACTAGGGAGCCTTTGTCCTCGCCCGATGTTGTCTGTCTGTAGCCAGGGCATATGGAGCTCACTAGGGAGCCTTTGTTCTCGACCCATATTGTTTTTGTAGCTAGGTCATATGGGGCTCACTAGGGAGCCTTTGTTCTCGCCCCATGTTGTTTTTGTAGCTAGGTCATATGGAGCTCACTAGGGAGCCTTTGTCCTCGCCTGATGTTGTTTCTGTAGCCAGGTCATATGGGGCTCACGAGGGAGCCTTTGTCCTCGCCCGATGTTGTGTGTCTGTTGCTAGGTCATATAGAGCTCACTAGGGAGCCTTTGTTCTCGCCCCATGTTGTGTGTCTGTAGGCAGGTCATATGGAGCTCACTAGGGAGCCTTTGTTCTCGCCCCATGTTGTTTCTGTAGCCAGGTCATATGGAGCTCACTAGGGAGCCTTTGTTCTCGACCCATGTTGTTTCTGTAGCTAGGTCATATTGGGCTCACTAGGGAGCCTTTGTTCTCGCCCCATGTTGTTTCTGTAGCCAGGTCATATGGGGCTCACTAGGGAGCCTTTGTTCTCGACCCATTTTGTTACTGTAGCCAGGTCATATGGAGCTCACTAGGGAGCCTTTGTCCTCGCCCCATTTTGTTTCTGTAGCTAGGTCATATTGGGCTCACTAGGGTGCCTTTGTCCTCGCCCGATGTTGTTTCTGTAGCCAGGTCATATGGGGCTCACTAGGAAGCCTTTGTTCTCGCCCCATGTTGTTTCTGTAGCTAGGTCATATGGAGCTCACTAGGGAGCCTTTGTTCTCGCCCCATGTTGTTTCTGTAGCCAGGTCATATGGGGCTCACTAGGGAGCCTTTGTCCTCGCCCGATGTTGTGTGTCTGTAGCCAGGGCATATGGAGCTCACTAGGGAGCCTTTGTTCTCGACCCATATTGTTTTTGTACCTAGGTCATATGGGGCTCACTAGGGAGCCTTTATTCTCGCCCCATGTTGTTTTTGTAGCTAGGTCATATGGAGCTCACTAGGGAGCCTTTGTCCTCGCCTGATGTTGTTTCTGTAGCTAGGTCATATGGGGCTCACGAGGGAGCCTTTGTCCTCGCCCGATATTGTGTGTCTGTTGCTAGGTCATATAGAGCTTACTAGGGAGCCTTTGTTCTCCGCCCCACGTTGTTTCTGTAGCTAGGTCATATGGAGCTCACGAGGGAGCCTTTGTCCTCGCCCGATGTTGTGTGTCTGTTGCTAGGTCATATAGAGCTCACTAGGGAGCCTTTGTTCTCGCCCCATGTTGTTTCTGTAGCTTGGTCATATGGAGCTCACTAGGGAGCCTTTGTTCTCGACCCATGTTGTTTCTGTAGCCAGGTCATATAGAGCTCACTAGGGAGCCTTTGTTCTCGACCCATTTTGTTACTGTAGCCAGGTCATATGGAGCTCACTAGGGAGCCTTTGTTCTCGCCCGATGTTGTTTCTGTAGCCAGGTCATATGGGGCTCACTAGGGAGCCTTTGTTCTCGACCCATGTTGTTTCTGTAGCCAGGTCATATGGAGCTCACTAGGGAGCCTTTGTCCTCGCCCCATTTTGTTTCTGTAGCTAGGTCATATTGGGCTCACTAGGGTGCCTTTGTCCTCGCCCGATGTTGTTTCTGTAGCCAGGTCATATGGGCCTCACTAGGAAGCCTTTGTTCTCGCCCCATGTTGTTTCTGTAGCTAGGTCATATGGGGCTCACTAGGGAGCCTTTGTCCTCGCCCCATTTTGTTTCTGTAGCTAGGTCATATTGGGCTCACTAGGGTGCCTTTGTCCTCGCCCGATGTTGTTTCTGTAGCCAGGTCATATGGGGCTCAATAGGAAGCCTTTGTTCTCGCCCCATGTTGTTTCTGTAGCTAGGTCATATGGAGCTCACTAGGGAGCCTTTGTTCTCGACCCATATTGTTTCTGTAGCCAGGTCATATGGGGCTCACTAGGGAGCCTTTGTTCTCGCCCGATGTTGTGTGTCTGTAGCCAGGGCATATGGAGCTCACTAGGGAGCCTTTGTTCTCGACCCATATTGTTTTTGTAGCTAGGTCATATGGGGCTCACTAGGGAGCCTTTGTTCTCGCCCCATGTTGTTTTTGTAGCTAGGTAATATGGAGCTCACTAGGGAGCCTTTGTCCTCGCCTGATGTTGTTTCTGTAGCCAGGTCATATGGGGCTCACGAGGGAGCCTTTGTCCTCGCCCCATTTTGTTACTGTAGCCAGGTCATATGGGGCTCACTAGGGAGCCTTTGTTCTCGACCCATTTTGTTACTGTAGCCAGGTCATATGGAGCTCACTAGGGAGCCTTTGTCCTCGCCCCATTTTGTTTCTGTAGCTAGGTCATATTGGGCTCACTAGGGTGCCTTTGTCCTCGCCCGATGTTGTTTCTGTAGCCAGGTCATATGGGGCTCACTAGGAAGCCTTTGTTCTCGCCCCATGTTGTTTCTGTAGCTAGGTCATATGGAGCTCACGAGGGAGCCTTTGTTCTCGCCCCATGTTGTTTCTGTAGCCAGGTCATATGGGGCTCACTAGGGAGCCTTTGTCCTCGCCCGATGTTGTGTGTCTGTAGCCAGGGCATATGGAGCTCACTAGGGAGCCTTTGTTCTCGCCCCATGTTGTTTTTGTAGCTAGGTCATATGGAGCTCACTAGGGAGCCTTTGTCCTCGCCTGATGTTGTTTCTGTAGCTAGGTCATATGGGGCTCACTAGGGAGCCTTTGTCCTCGCCCGATATTGTGTGTCTGTTGCTAGGTCATATAGAGCTTACTAGGGAGCCTTTGTTCTCGCCCCATGTTGTGTGTCTGTAGGCAGGTCATATGGAGCTCACTAGGGAGCCTTTGTTCTCGCCCCATGTTGTTTCTGTAGCCAGGTCATATGGAGCTCACTAGGGAGCCTTTGTTCTCGACCCATGTTGTTTCTGTAGCTAGGTCATATTGGGCTCACTAGGGAGCCTTTGTTCTCGCCCCATGTTGTTTTTGTAGCCAGGTCATATGGGGCTCACTAGGGAGCCTTTGTTCTCGACCCATTTTGTTACTGTAGCCAGGTCATATGGAGCTCACTAGGGAGCCTTTGTCCTCGCCCCATTTTGTTTCTGTAGCTAGGTCATATTGGGCTCACTAGGGTGCCTTTGTCCTCGCCCGATGTTGTTTCTGTAGCCAGGTCATATGGGGCTCACTAGGAAGCCTTTGTTCTCGCCCCATGTTGTTTCTGTAGCTAGGTCATATGGTGCTCACTAGGGAGCCTTTGTTCTCGCCCCATGTTGTTTCTGTAGCCAGGTCATATGGGGCTCACTAGGGAGCCTTTGTCCTCGCCCGATGTTGTGTGTCTGTAGCCAGGGCATATGGAGCTCACTAGGGAGCCTTTGTTCTCGACCCATATTGTTTTTGTACCTAGGTCATATGGGGCTCACTAGGGAGCCTTTATTCTCGCCCCATGTTGTTTTTGTAGCTAGGTCATATGGAGCTCACTAGGGAGCCTTTGTCCTCGCCTGATGTTGTTTCTGTAGCTAGGTCATATGGGGCTCACTAGGGAGCCTTTGTCCTCGCCCCATTTTGTTTCTGTAGCTAGGTCATATTGGGCTCACTAGGGTGCCTTTGTCCTCGCCCGATGTTGTTTCTGTAGCCAGGTCATATGGGGCTCAATAGGAAGCCTTTGTTCTCGCCCCATGTTGTTTCTGTAGCTAGGTCATATGGAGCTCACTAGGGAGCCTTTGTTCTCGACCCATATTGTTTCTGTAGCCAGGTCATATGGGGCTCACTAGGGAGCCTTTGTCCTCGCCCGATGTTGTGTGTCTGTAGCCAGGGCATATGGAGCTCACTAGGGAGCCTTTGTTCTCGACCCATATTGTTTTTGTAGCTAGGTCATATGGGGCTCACTAGGGAGCCTTTGTTCTCGCCCCATGTTGTTTTTGTAGCTAGGTAATATGGAGCTCACTAGGGAGCCTTTGTCCTCGCCTGATGTTGTTTCTGTAGCCAGGTCATATGGGGCTCACGAGGGAGCCTTTGTCCTCGCCCGATGTTGTGTGTCTGTTGCTAGGTCATATAGAGCTCACTAGGGAGCCTTTGTTCTCGCCCCATGTTGTTTCTGTAGCCAGGTCATATGGGGCTCACTAGGGAGCCTTTGTTCTCGCCCGATGTTGTTTCTGTAGCCAGGTCATATGGAGCTCACTAGGGAGCCTTTGTCCTCGCCCCATGTTGTGTCTCTGTAGCCAGGTCATATGGAGCTCACTAGGGAGCCTTTGTCCTCGACCCTTGTTGTTTCTGTAGCCAGGTCATATGGGGCTCACGAGGGAGCCTTTGTTCTCGCCTGATGTTCTTTCTGTAGCTAGGTCATATGGAGCTCACGTGGGAGCCTTTGTCCTCGCCCGATGTTGTGTGTCTGTTGCTAGGTCATATAGAGCTCACTAGGGAGCCTTTGTTCTCGCCCCATGTTGTTTCTGTAGACAGGTCATATGGGGCTCACTAGGGAGCCTTTGTCCTCGCCTGATGTTGTTTCTGTAGCCAGGTCATATGGGGCTCACGAGGGAGCCTTTGTTCTCGCCCCATGTTGTTTCTGTAGCCAGGTCATATGGGGCTCACGAGGGAGACTTTGTTCTCGACCCATTTTGTTTCTGTAGCCAGGTCATATGGAGCTCACTAGGGAGCCTTTGTTCTCGCCCGATGTTGTGTGTCTGTAGCTAGGTCATATGGAGCTCACTAGGAAGCCTTTGTCCTCGCCCGATGTTGTTTCTGTAGCCAGGTCATATGGGGCTCACTAGGGAGCCTTTGTCCTCGCCTGATGTTGTTTCTGTAGACAGGTCATATGGGGCTCACTAGGGAGCCTTTGTCCTCGCCCGATGTTGTTTCTGTAGCCAGGTCATATGGGGCTCACTAGGGAGCCTTTGTCCTCGCCCCATGTTGTGTGTCTGTTGCTAGGTCATATGGAGCTCACTAGGGAGCCTTTGTCCTCGCCTGATGTTGTGTGTCTGTAGCTAGGTCATATGGAGCTCACTAGGGAGCCTTTGTCCTCGACCCATGTTGTTTCTGTAGCTAGGTCATATGTAGCTCACTAGGTAGCCTTTGTCCTCGCCCGATGTTGTGTGTCTGTAGCCAGGTCATATGGAGCTCACTAGGGTGCCTTTGTCCTCGACCCTTGTTGTTTCTGTAGCTAGGTCATATGTAGCTCACTAGGGAGCCTTTGTCCTCGCCCGATGTTGTGTGTCTGTAGCTAGGTCATATGGGGCTCACTAGGGAGCCTTTGTTCTCGCCCCATGTTGTTTCTGTAGCCAGGTCATATGGGGCTCACTAGGGAGCCTTTGTCCTCGCCCGATGTTGTGTGTCTGTAGCTAGGTCATATGGAGCTCACTAGGGAGCCTTTGTTCTCGCCCCATGTTGTTTCTGTTGCTAGGTCATATGTAGCTCACTAGGGAGCCTTTGTCCTCGCCCGATGTTGTGTGTCTGTAGCTAGGTCATATGGAGCTCACTAGGGAGCCTTTGTTCTCGCCCCATGTTGTTTCTGTAGCTAGGTCATATGGAGCTCACTAGGGAGCCTTTGTCCTCGCCCGATGTTGTGTGCCTGTAGCTAGGTCATATGGGGCTCACTAGGGAGCCTCTGTTTTGCCCGATGTTGTTTCTGTAGCCAGGTCATATGGAGCTCACCGGGGTACCCTATGTTGTGTTTTAAGCCCGTCAGCACAACACCGTGCTCCTGCATTTCAATAAGGTGCTCAAAGTGTTTTTGGTCGTTTTCCCGCGTCATAGGTGATACGCCGTGATATAACTGAAATGCTGTTCAATGTGGTGAAACATCCCCAATCTACGATGGTTTACACAGTGTGCACACCGGTGTTTACTTTAATACCTCCAATAACGCGAACATTTGTCAGGTCCGTGAAACATCCAGGTTAGAATAGGTATTCAACAACCTGTGCTTGTCGTCAGAGGCGACTAACGGGATCGGATGGTCAAGCTCGCTGAGTTGTTGATGCGTAGATCGATGGCAATCAATGAATTGTGAGGTCCAGATTCAATTATTTACAGACCGCCGTCATATCCCCGGAATATTGCTTAGTGCGGCGTTAAACAAGAAACAGACAAACACTAGTCAATTCATTTCTTAACTAAAATGTGTCTAATCACGAACATGGGATCTTTACTGACGCGACGTTGACTAGACTGAGCAACATGGAGCATACATGACGACCTCACCATGCAGCCTGTCAGATTGACCACGAGATAAGTGGTCCACCTAAAGCGTAATACATGTAAACCAGCTGTCTACTTACATATAGAGCAGCACAGCCGCCGCCACTGCCAGAAGCAGATACAGCGGGACGTCCACTAGCCCCAAGATCTCCATGTTGATGTGACGAGCAATACCCTGCGAGCTTTTTCTTTATTATCAAACTACCAGAACACACCCCTTCTAGCACATCACGTGAGCAGGCCAGGTTCAAGACAGTGTTCGATGCAAAGGGTGCCCTACTTTAGCCGAGAGCGTGTCTTACGTCACAGGGGTCGCGCAAAGGTCTGAAACTGGGTTGTTAACGCAGCTCACCTGTGAACGCATTTTGTAACCCCCAGCACTGCTGTGAAGAACTTTTACAACGAACATTTGTTCCTTTGGAGGTGCATGTCTAGTCAAGTCTTGGTTCCTATCACACTGAAATCTGTTCCTGTCATTCAGGAACTTTCATGTTACCTCGTGAAACTTTCAAGTGTCTAAAAGAGGGATTTATTAAAAAATGGGGCTTGGATATTTTGTTGCCGTTGTTGGTTTTTTTATGTCGGGTGGGTGGGTGGGTGTGGGGTAGTGAGGAGTCATGAATTGTAGATTCTTTTCTTTTAGGTTATGTTTATTTTTATTGCAATTGCATGTCTTATTTTCATTGTTTTTTTATGTTGCTTATTAACAATATACAGGAACATCGCTCATAAACATACCCAACCTTTGTTCATGTCAACCGGAAGTTTTCCCTGCAGGGTCGGAACATTTCCGCTGCAAATGTATGCATCTATTCCTGATGTTTTATCCGGGTCTGAACCGCCTCCGTGGTCTAGTGGTAGAGCGTCCGCCCGGAGAGCGGAAGGTCCGGGGTTCGATCCCAGGCCGCGTCATACCAAAAGACGTTAAAAGATGGTACTTGTTGTTACCCTGTCTGACGCTCGGCATTAAGGAGCTAAAACAAGGACTGGTCGGCTCGGAGTCAGTATACTGTGTCTGAGTCGGGTATTCGTGTTAAACTGCGGCATGGTATCTCAGTGGGCTAGCACTATAAATCGGCATCAGTCCGGACTAGTTCAAGCAGCCACCCAAACACATACACGTACATGCACGTCGCTATATAAGTGCAATAATCTTGGATGCGACGTTAAACCCAATTACACCTCACCTCACCTCACTTATCCGGTTCGGAACTAAATTGGGGCGGAACAGAAACATGTTCACACAGCATGAGAGGGCAGAAGCATGCGCAGATCAGTGTGTCGCAATGAGGTGAAAGCGTTCGCTCGTCACGCCGAAGACCCGGGTCCGATTCCCGACATGGGTGCAATGAGTGAAGCCCACATCTGGTGTCCCCGCGGTGATATAGCGGGAATATTGCAAAAAGCGGCATAAAACCAAACTTACTCACTCACTACTGTAATGAATATTTGAACATGTGATAACTATTTCAGAAATAACCGTATTATCTCCATTTTGGGGGGATCTGAACTGACATATTTGAGAAGAATCTCAGTGACATGAGAAACCTACATTGCATGTATCCTTGTTCAGGGATCTATTCCCTATAATGTTCAGCATCGTGTAGGTGTGAGTGAATATGGTTTTACGCCGCTTTTAGCAATATTCCAGCAATATCACGGCGGGGGACACCAGAAATGAGCTTCACACATTGTACCCATGTCGGGAATCGAACCCGGGTCTTCGGCGTGACGAGCGAACGCTTTAACCACTAGGCTACCCGACCGCCCTCGCATCGTGCAGGAAGCTGAGTCCATGATCCCCAGCGAGGTGCTTCATGTTGTGCCTCAAGCCAGAAACCTGCGAGTTGTGTGTCATGTGAAATGCGGATGAGATCAGCCTTCTTAGCAGAACCAAGCACACAATAAGGACACAATAACATCGGTACGCAAGGACTGTTATTGGATGTCATTTTGATCTTACGAGCGAGCCTTGCCCTTGTATACTCCCCATGGTGTTCCATGTTACAATGTAGTTATACGTGTGTCAGCATCCTAGCATGCCTGGGTTAGCTGAGGTCTGATCAGCCTGAAACATAGGCACGTAGTTTGACATCTCTTTTTGGTATCCCAAGATGGCACACAACAGTCCCAACAACGGGAATGCTCTCAGGTTTCGTCAGAATTTGGTTTTTGAAACTAGCTTGCCTCTTGAATATTTCTCCTTCAAAGCCCTGGGATCTATGTTTGACCCACCGTTCAGCAAAGTCAAGGGTCAAGGGTCAAGGACATCCTCCATGTCATAGCCTGTTCACTGTCTAACTCGAGAAGGAATTATTGTAGGCTAGTGATACTTGGAACATGTCCTTCTGAGATTAAAGAGGGCATGGGTGGCTCCGTCATCTAAGGCGCTGCGATTCGCTTTGCAGAGTTGCGTCTCTTGGGCACACCAGAAACCTATGATTGTTGGTTCAAATCTCGGTCCGTCCCGATTATGTTTCTAGGTCTGTCAGCGCCATACCCGTGCTCGTTGGTTTAACCGAAGTGGTAAACGTCTGAGACCTGCATCACTCCGGGCTTTCCTTCCACATTAAGCTGACACGCCGTGATATAAATGGAATACGTTTAAAAGCGGCGTCAAGGCCAACTCACTCACTCTAAAATTAGAATACGTCGTGAATGTACTCTTAAGGTCATGGTCAATGTGAAAGTCATTTATAAAATTTGTTGCCATTTTCGCTATAAAGCCTTCCCCGGCAAATATGGGTTAAGTGTTATGCATGTATATATAGTGCTTACAACTGTATGAGACAATCCTATGGTACTAGGTCAAGATGCTATATTTTTTGTTTACATTTAATTTAACCTGGAGACATGATATTTGATTAACATTTTGAATATCAATTTGAATGTTCTTGAAATACTTACAGCTGATAATGAAATTCTCACAACTGATAATTAAATACTTACACTGATAATGTAATACTTACAACTGATAATGAAATACTTACACTGATAATGAAATACTTACAACTGATAATGAAATACTTACAACTGATTATGAAATACTTACACTGATAATGAAATACTTACAACTGATTATGAAATACTTACACTGATAATGAAATACTTACAACTGATAATGAAATACTTACACTGATAATGAAATACTTACAACTGATAGTGAAGGTCAAATTCCGTCTCAAAGTCATACACTTAAATTGCATCATGGTCATGATAACATAAGAAGAGTCTACTGCAGTAACATTAGGTTTCGTGCGACTCATCCTTAGGGTGTAAGTTTGAGGTGGTAACCTTTTAGAGTACCTTCATCGAAAGTCAAGGTCAGTGGTAAGGTCGTTCTGATTCTTTAAAATGTAACTCACTCACTCACACACTCACCTAATGGCACACACATCAATCTCTAATGACACAGACACTCACACACTCACCTAATGGCACACACATCAATCTCTAATGACACAGACACTCACACACTCACCTAATGGCACACACATCAATCTCTAATGACACAGACACTCACACACTCACCTAATGGCACACACATCAATCTCTAATGACACACACACTCACACACTCACCTAATGGCACACACATCAATCTCTAATGACACACACACTCACACACTCACCTAATGGCACACACATCAATCTCTAATGACACAGACACGCACACACTCACCTAATGGCACACACATCAATCTCTAATGACACAGACACGCACACACTCACCTAATGGCACACACATCAATCTCTAATGACACAGACACTCACACACTCACCTAATGGCACACACATCAATCTCTAATGACACTGACACGCACACACTCACCTAATGGCACACACATCAATCTCTAATGACACAGACACTCACACACTCACCTAATGGCACACACATCAATCTCTAATGACACAGACACTCACACACTCACCTAATGGCACACACATCAATCTCTAATGACACAGACACTCACACACTCACCTAATGGCACACACATCAATCTCTTATGACACAGACACTCACACACTCACCTAATGGCACACACATCAATCTCTAATGACACAGACACTCACACACTCACCTAATGGCACACACATCAATCTCTAATGACACAGACACGCACACACTCACCTAATGGCACACACATCAATCTCTAATGACACAGACACTCACACACTCACCTAATGGCACACACATCAATCTCTAATGACACAGACACGCACACACTCACCTAATGGCACACACATCAATCTCTAATGACACAGACACTCACACACTCACCTAATGGCACACACATCAATCTCTAATGACACAGACACGCACACACTCACCTAATGGCACACACATCAATCTCTAATGACACAGACACGCACACACTCACCTAATGGCACACACATCAATCTCTAATGACACAGACACTCACACACTCACCTAATGGCACACACATCAATCTCTAATGACACAGACACTCACACACTCACCTAATGGCACACACATCAATCTCTAATGACACAGACACTCACACACTCACCTAATGGCACACACATCAATCTCTAATGACACAGACACTCACACACTCACCTAATGGCACACACATCAATCTCTAATGACACAGACACTCACACACTCACCTAATGGCACACACATCAATCTCTAATGACACAGACACTCACACACTCATCTAATGGCACACACATCAATCTCTAATGACACAGACACTCACACACTCACCTAATGGCACACACATCAATCTCTAATGACACAGACACTCACACACTCACCTAATGGCACACACATCAATCTCTAATGACACAGACACTCACACACTCACCTAATGGCACACACATCAATCTCTAATGACACAGACACTCACACACTCACCTAATGGCACACACATCGATCTCTAATGACACAGACACGCACACACTCACCTAATGGCACACACATCAATCTCTAATGACACAGACACTCACACACTCACCTAATGGCACACACATCAATCTCTAATGACACAGACACGCACACACTCACCTAATGGCACACACATCAATCTCTAATGACACAGACACTCACCCACTCACCTAATGGCACACACATCAATCTCTAATGACACAGACACTCACACACTCACCTAATGGCACACACATCAATCTCTAATGACACAGACACTCACACACTCACCTAATGGCACACACATCAATCTCTAATGACACAGACACTCACACACTCACCTAATGGCACACACATCAATCTCTAATGACACAGACACT